AGCTCCATGATTTAAAAGTAATTCAGCAATTTCCATTTCTTTCTCTTTAATCGCATAGTGAAGAGGAGTTGTGCCATCCCGAGTTTCAGCATTAATGTTAGCACCTCTGTCCATAAGCATCTTAACACCATCTACATGTCCTTTTTGAACAGCAAGATGCATTGGTGTAACACCTGAAAAGGAAGAGATATATGTAGAAGTCACTATCCAATTAAACTCCATGTTTTAAAAGATGTTCATCAGTCTGTAAATATCTTTTTTCAGCTGCAATATAAAAAAAAGTTATACCGTCATTGCTACTGGCATTAACATTAGCTCCATGATTGAAAAGTAATTCAGCAATTTCCATTTCTTTCTCTTCAATCGCATAGTGAAAAGGAGTTGTGCCATACCAAGATGTAGCATTAACATCAGCATGTCTGTCTAGAAGCATCTTAATAATTTCTATGTCACCATTTATAACAGCTAAATGAAGTGGAGTATTATTAATTTTTGGAGTAGTGAAGTTAACTTTAGAACCGCTTGCTAAAAGTAGTTTAATAACTTGTGTATGCTTCTTCCTAATAGCATCACAAAGTAAAGCATATCCTCCTAACCATGCTTCTGAATAAGATAGTCCAAAAGAAGTAATTAGCTCCCTTGCTCTTTCTAGGTTTCCTTCACGAACTGCACATATTAATCTAGAGCTTGTATTTTTAGAGTTCATGGTAAAAAAAGTGCTCATGTTGCATCTGTTTTTCTCTAAAATCTCTCTTCTATGTTGTTTCTCTGCTTAAGTTTTAGTTTTGGGTTTCCTATAATTATTTATGTGTATTACAATCGTGAAATTTAAAGTAGGTATATATGTTAGAACATATATACTGTAAGTGGCATAGCTTATCTGACCTACTGCCTTACTGTTAGCTAATGAAAGACGTGTAACCTAGTTTATACCGTACATCTTATTGATACGCGAATCAAATAAAATTTGTTTGTCAATGTAAAATTTTGGTGTTTACATCATTATAAATGTGCTTGATACGCGTATCATTTTGATACGATACGCGTGAAAAAGGCGTATCGTATCAGCTTAATATGACATTGTTTACATTATTGAAACCAAGCCAATTTAATACGAATATAGTACTTAATACGCGTATTAAACGATCGGTGTAAACTAGGCCCGTGTTAAAAAATGCGAAATAATTACTTGTATAGACAAAAATAAAAGAACTCCAAGAATCTTACGTCTTACTACTGGCTGCTTTCCTTTTAGGAGACACAGTCAACACAAGTTGACACAAGAATCATTCTGTCTTTGTTTCTCACTGAATACTGAACGAAGACAGAATGACTTTTGTTTTGTGTCGACTTGTGTCGACTGTGTCTCTTAAGGTTGTATTCAGGGTAAGGTCTTAGTCAAAAGTTTAAGAAACATAGCGTTAACCTATTTTAGTATTTAGATAATGATTGTTTGCTGGAAAGGTATTATTTATACAAAAATAAGTTAAGAAAATTATTTATTATACTTTTAATGACTACTAGAAAAGTTTTCACGTGTATTTTGTGCTATTTTAATGTTCACTTTTGATACTTTTGAGTAGGATTGTACATATGTGCCAACGTAAGATAATGAAAAACTGAAAATTTGTTAACCCTAAAAGTTCATTAAAATGTAACAATTGATGCTTAAAATTACAGATAAAATTGTTTTATGTATATTAAATATATATTTTTATTAATTTTAGCAAAATATAAATTAATATATTTTGCATTATAAAATACTGTGATCGCGGCAACACCGCATTTCGTTGTAGTATATGCATACGTTGGTAGCATTTGCTGTCAATAGTTATTCGTATGTGCAAAGAACATCACGATCACGCAATGAAAAATCTTTGCAATTCCAATGTTTTACAAGCGGTTTCGCGAAAACGAAAGAGTGTGCAAGACTCCAAACATACATTTTTATAAATTTTTTTTAAATAATACTAATCACAATTTTTTAAAATAATACTAATCACAATAATAACAACAAATTTATGATTATCTAGTATATATACAAATGTATATATACTAGAAATNAACCATTAGATAGTTTATGTATGTACTGTCCTGTCGGTAATCCAATGCTCAGTAACAGTGTTGCCAGATCTCCACAGTTACGAGTTTGCGAATCCTTACTTTTGTTTGGTTTTTATTTTATATCTTATGTAATATTCTCGAAATGACTATTTTTCCAAGTGCAATTTGTTTGTAAGAGATTGATGAACAACTGCAAAAAGTTTCAAAATTACGGCATATCTACATCTACACTTATTTTTTAGTTTATATTAGAATATCGTGAAATCCCATAAGAACCTATGTTAAATTTAAATCGTACTAACTTTTTAACAAGGCTCGCAAAGGTGCTGAAATTTTGCACACTTTTTTTTTGTTATATTATNTACTGACTGGCAAAATTTGAACAATCTGGCATATTTTTTATCTTACCCTGAATACAACCTTAAAAGGAAAGCAGCCACTGCCTACTCCCATTGTAGAGTAGCCATAATGCATAAAGGGTCGTCTACAATGGAGAGTGTTAGACCGTAACAGTAAGGCCTGGTTTATACGGGCAATAACTGCTAAGGGCCATTAAGGGTCGTCTACAATGGAAAGTTTTAAACTGTAACAGTAAGAAATTGACAAATAACAATCGATTATTCTTCTGTACTTTGCCTGTGATTGGTCAATTTCTTACTATTACGGCCTACAACTCTCCATTGTAGACGGCTTTTTACACGTGAAAAAATTTTAGCCGTAACCGTAAGGTCGTAAGCAATTTATCCAATTACAGACCAGTATTATCTTACATTAGTTGGAATGCTGGCCAGCGATTGGTCGATTTGCTTACGACCTTGCGACTACGTCTAAATTTTTGCTACGTGCAATGGCCTTAACTTATGCCGGAACCGGTAGAGTTTGACTATAGGATTTTAATACTTCTGTTTATACCACAGACTTCTATATAAAGAGCCGTCTACAATGGAGAGTTGTAGGCCGTAATAGTAAGAAATTGACCAATCACAGACAAAGTACAGAAGAATAATCGATTGTGATTTGTCAATTTCTTACTGTTACGGTCTAAAACTCTCCATTGTAGACGACCTTTAAGGCGATTTTTGGCGATCGTATG